TCTCTGGCTTGTGTTTTTGTTCTTGTAGCACCATTTTTCACAGACTAAAACATTTTGATTTTGATAAAGTCCATTTTCCCAATTTTAATTTTTAAAAATGGATTGTGTTGGCTCTGTACCTGTAGCTTAGCAGCTAGGGTGCCAGCCACATATACCAGGGCTAGTGGGTTTGAACTCAGCCTGGGCCTGCCAAATAGCAATGGCAACTACAACAAAAAAATAGACAGGTGGTATGGCGGGTGCCTGTAGTCCATGCTGCTTGGGAGGCTGAGGCAAGACAATTGCTTAAGCTCAAGAGTTTGAGGTTGCTGTGAGCTGTGATGTCACGGCACTCTGCTGAGGGTGACTCTGTGTCAAAAAAAAAAATGGATTGTACTTTTGATGTCATATCTAAATTCTCATAACCTGGGTGGCACCTGTGGCTCAATAAGTAGGGCACCGGCCCCATATACCAAGGGTGGTGGGTTCAAACCTGGCCCCAGCCAAACTGCAACAAAAAAATTGTCAGGCATTTTAGCAGGCACCTGTAGTCCCAGCTACTTGGGAGGCTGAGGCAAGAGCTGGAGGTTGCTGTGAGCCGTGACGCCGTGGCACTCTACCATGGGTGACAAAGCGAGACTCTGTCTCTTAAAAAAATAAAAAATAAATAAAATCTCATAACCCAAACCAAAATATACAGATTTTCTTCTCATTTCTATAGTTAGCTTTGGCTTTCATTCTCAATTCTGTGATTCATTTTGAATTGATTTTTATACAGAATTAGGGGTATATTTTGGATTTCGTTTTTTGTATGTGTATAGATTTACAAGTATCATTTGTTGAAAAACTGTCCTTTCTTCCATTCAATTGCCTTTGTAAAGAATTAGGAGACAGGGCGGCACCTGTGGCTCAAAGGAATAGGGCGCTGGCCCCATATACCAGAGAAGGTGGGTTCAAACCTGGCCTCGGCCAAAAATTGCAAAAAAAAAAAGAATTAGGAGACAACAGGTGGATCTGTTTTTTTAGGTTCTTTATTCTGTCTCATTGACCTATGTGTGTACTCTTTTTTCAGTACTACACTATCTTGATTTTATAGAAAGTCTTAATTAAAATTGGCTATGAGATTTCTCCATCCTTGTTTTTCTTTAGAGTTGTTCTGGCTATTCTAGTTTCTTTGCCTTTCCATATAAATTATAGAAAACATGATAGATAGCTACAAAAAAGCTTGCTGTGATTTTGTTTAGCATTACATTGACTCTATATATTAAATTGAGGAGAGTTTATTCTGAGCAATATGGAGTTTTCCAATCCTTATTTTTATTTTTATTTTTTTTTTGAGACAGAGTCTCACTTTATTACCCTTAGAGTGAGATGGCGTCATAGCTCACAGCAACCTCAAACTCCTGGGCTTAAGCAATTCTTTTGCCTCAGCCTCCCAAGTAGTTGGGACTACAGGTGCCTGCCACAATGCCTTGCTATTTTTAGAGGTGAGGTCTCACTCTAGCTTATGCTATTCTCAAACCTATGAACTCAGGCAATCCACCCACCTCAGCGTCCCAGAGTGCTAGGATTACAGGCATGAGATACTGTGCCCGGTCAGTTTTTCCATCCTTAAACACAGAATATCTCCCCATTATTTAGATTGTCTTTGATTTTTAAAAATTATTGTTTCTAGTTTTGAGCATGCAGATCCTATACATTTTTTACCCTTAAATTGTTTATTCTTTCCTTTTGTAATTATACACAAAATTGGTTTCTTAATTTCAAATTTTAATTATTGATTGCTGCTATATAAGCATATAGCCAACTTTTGTATGTTGACTTTGTAATCTTGTGACCTTGCCATACTCACTTGCTAGTTCTGGGAATTTTGTTTAGAATCTTGGGGATTTTCTTCATAAATAATCATGTCATCTTCCAAACATTTTATTTCTCTCTTGTAATCTGTGTGCCTTTAACTATAAATTCTATTTCTTTAATAGATACAGAATTATCTATTAAGTTAACCTGTTCTTGGCTCGGCGCCTGTGGCTCAAGCAGCTAAGGCACTAGCCACATACACCCAAGGTGGCCGGTTCGAATCCCCAGCCCGGGCCCGCCAAACAACAATGATGGCTGCAACCAAAAAATGGCCAGGCGTTGTGGCGGGCACCTGTAGTCCCAGCTACTTGGGAGGCTGAGGCAGGAGACTTGCTTGAGCCCAGGAGTTGGAGGTTGCTGTGAGCGAGATGCCAGGGCACTCTACCCAGGCGGAAGGCTTGAGGCTCCGTCTCAAAAAAAAAAAGGTTAACCTGTTCTTGAGTGAGTTTGGTAATTTGTGTCTTAAAAGAGGTATGTCCATTTTATCTAAGTTACTGAATCTATGTGCTTAGTTTCAAGTCTGTGGGTTCATAGTGATATTCTGTCTTTGATTGGTATTTCTCTTTTTGCTTGGACATAAGTTTTCATTTCATTCATGTAAATACATAGATTATGTTTAGCTTTGTAACAAACTGCTAAATTCTGTTCCAAAGTGACTGTGACTTTGTATTCCTGCCAGCAATGAAGGAGCATTCATGTTGGTCCACATCCTCTCCAGCATTTGGTGGTGTCAGTTTTTTGGATTTTAGCCATTCCAATAGGTGTGTAGTAGTGTTTCATAGTCTCAAGTTGAAATTCTCTAATGACACATGGTGCCGAACATGCTTCATGTGCTCATTTATCATGTGTATATCTTCATGTTCAGGTCTGTAGTCCCACAGACTGGCTCCTACTTACAGCTGTTGCCTTTTTATTTTTATTTTTTATTTACTTATTTATTTTTTTTTTTTTTATAAGAGGAAGGGCTTTATTTACTGGCCAGGAGCTTACGGCATAGAAGAATTCCAAATGGCCGTGCTCCCCAATTGGCTTGGTCTTTCCCTTTTTATCAACAGTCAAAAAGTTTCAACCCATAGGTACCCTTCTCATTGGCCAGTTTGAATCAAGCAGGAGATGCTATTCTAGCCCCTAAAGAACTACAGGATTTCACAGAACTTGGAAATTTCCAAGTTTCAGAAAGTTAAGTTTACAAATTCCCAAGAGCTGAGTCACCATGGAGAGGACCCTGCAAGTGTATCCTTGTGGTCTCCTTGAGACAACCTGTTCTCCTATACCTCACCCTTCTCAGGTATCCTCTCTTATTCCCTGCTTTTGAGACTCCAATATAGTTTAATTTGGGGTCCTCAATATCACCTTGTTTCTGTAGGTGCCGATATTAATTACTTTTCAGCACTGAGATTTTAGGGACTATGACTCTTCTTGGGTTCTCTACTCAGGTCTTAATAGTACCATGGTGGTGGGCCAATATTCATACCTGTTTTTACTTTTCCCAGTGTGACATTTCTCCTCCACTTTTCCCAAAGTCCAAAGTCCAATTAAGGCAAGTTCCTCGAGGAGTTTCCTCAGATTTCAGCTGTGCATTGACCAGCCAGTTCCCAGTATGTGTCTGGAGCAGGGCATATTGACCATCTTAAAAGTTACCTTTACTTCCCAAGGGGCAGTGAAGCTCTATTCAGCCAGTTGTGATGATTCCAGGTGTGGATTCCTTCCACCTTTGCTGCCATGCATGTGGTCAGGAGAATGATGTAAAGTCCTGTTTACACCAAGATTTAATTCACCAAGATTTTTATTTATTTATTTATTTATTTGAGAGAGTCTTACTGTGTCACCCTTGGTAGAGTGCTGTAGTGTCACAGTTCACAGCAACCTCAAACTCTTGGGCTTAAGTGATTCTCTTGCCTTAGCCTCCCACGTAGCTGGGACTATAGGCACCCACCACAATGCCTGGCTATTTTTTGGTTGTAGTTGTCATTGTTGTTTAGCAGACCTGGGCTGGGCTTGAACCCTCCAGCCTTGGTGTATGTGGCTGGCACCCCACTCACTGAGCGATGGGTGCCAAGCCTAGTTCACCAGGTTTTAACATGTCTTCTGTTGTGGTGGTACTTCTGTAGTATCCTTTCACAAACTCCACCTGACATTGTCAAATAGCATTGTTTACTTCTTCCTTTGTGTCCATGTTGTACTCTGTATTCTTTTATCCAAGCTTGTGTGACTTTAATTTCATTTGCATGTTTTAACTTTTCTTCTCTCTGCAGAGCTGAATGCTTCTTGAGGTCAGGACTGTATTTTATTGATTTTTATGTCACTTGCACCTAGTTGAATATCTGGCACCTAGAAGTCAGTAACTGTGCTACAGATGTAGGGTGCCCACCCAAATCTGTTTGGTTGTGACAGTCCTGCCTTTAGCATTGAAGGGCCCATATCTGGGGAGCCCTATACAGATCATTCCTAGGATAGCTTAAAACCTTATTTATTTATTTATTTGGAGACAGAGTTTCACTTTGTTGCCCTCCGTAGAGTGCTGTGGTGTCACAGCTCACAAGAACCTCAAACTCTTGGGTTCTAGAGATTCTTTTACCTCAGCCTTCCAAGTAGCCAGGACTATAGGCACCTGGCAAAATGTCTGGCTATTTTTTGAGACGAGGTCTTGCTCTGGCTCAGGTTAGTCTCAAACCTGTGAGCTCAGGCAATCCACCTGCCTCGGCCTCCCAGATTGCTAGGATTACAGGTTTGAGCCACTGCACCCGAGCAAGCTTAAAACTTTAAACAGAGACTATCCCATGCAGAGCACAGTGGATGACAACTCTAATCCTAGTTACTCAGGAGGCTGAGGCAGGTGATCACTTGAACCTAGGAGTCTGAGGCTGCGGTGAGCTATGGTTCTACCACTGCAATCCAGCATGGGTGATAGAACAAGACCTCAACTCTTTAAAAAATTAAATTAAGTAAAAAATACAAATAAAGAGAGACTATTAATCTCTGAAAGGACTGACTGAGTTAATTTATATTGATAGATATTTTCAATATGATTTTGTTTCTCTCAGAAACAAATAATGAATGCCCTAAGTATGAGATTGAGTGGGATTCTTTTATTTCAGGGACCATTGTCCTTCATGGATGTGTTTGTGGATTTTACCTGGGAGGAGTGGCGGCTGCTGGACCCAGCTCAGAAGCACCTATACAGGAGTGTGATGTTGGAGAACTACAGCAACCTGGTATCCGTGGGTAAGTGCTGCCTCCTTGGTGTGCAGTATGGGTAATCAATCACTAGGTTTCCTCTCCTTGGTTGCTGAGGCCTGACGGGCTTCTGAAAATAGTTAATGATCTTGGACTTATGTTCAAAGGCCAGATTTTCTCAGTTGACATCAGAGTATGCCAACTAAGTGGTCTTTACTTTTGCCAAAATACAAATGGGCAGCTTTTCATGCCACCTCTAATCCAAATCTTCCCTGTTCTTTAGAATCCATGAATCCCAAGTAATTTTCTTCCAGATTGTCTATGGCTTTCTGTTTACAGGTTATCTATGCTCCAAACCTGATATTATCTTCAAATTGGAATGAGGAGAAGAGCTGTGGATGGTACATGCCCAAATCCCAAGTCAGGGCCATCCAGGTAAGTGATGGAGACATTTAGGTCTTTTACTCTTTATTCAGAATCGGTATGAATTCTGATGTGATATGCGCCTCTTGTGTCAATTATAACCACACACTCTTAGTTACCCTCCTCCTTGTTGGCATCCTCAGTTTCCTTCTTGCTGTCTCTTGGTAATAGATTTATTTCATTACCCATGTAGGCAAGCTTTTCCTCTTTTCATCACTTGATGTGACTTTAATGCCTCTTCTACTTTCTTTCTATTTGTTTTTGATTATATTTTGAAATTCTGTGTACTTAAATTCAACAAACTAAAGCTTCACTGTAATCACTCTGTCCCTTCTGAGCACTACCTTTGATGTTTGATAATGTCTATAATCCTGCCTGTGGCCTTCTCCCTCCACCTTACTTTAGTCATCCCTGTTGACACCATGTTCTCATGCTGTGACCAGTTATTCCCCTCACTTTCTGCTGGGCTACACTTGCTCTTAGACTCCAAAAATGGCTTCTTTATATTCTTCATTTTCCTCATATAATTTTTTTTTTTTTTAAGAGATAGACTCTCACTTTATCACCCTCAGTAGAGTGCTGTGCTGTCACAGCTCACAGCAACCTCCATCTCCTGGGCTTAGGCGATTCTCTTGCCTCAGCCTCCCAAGTAGCTGAGATTACAGGCGCCCACCATAACGCCCAACTATTTTTTATTGCAGTTTGGCCAGGCCAGGTTTGAACCCACCACCCTCAGTATATGGGGCCTGTGCCCTACCTACTGAGCCACAGGTGCTGCCCTCCTCATGCAACTTTTAAAGGAATTCTGTCTTATGTCATTTGTGCTGCTATAACAAAATGCCACAGATTGGATAATATAGAAAGAATGGAAATTTATTTCTGACAGTTCTGGAGGCAAGGAAGTCCAAGACCAAGGTGCTGACAGGTTTGGTGTCTGGAGTGGGTCTGCTTTCTGATTTATAGATTGCACTTATTGCTCTGTCCTCCAGGAATGCTGTGGGACAGAAAGGGAGGCACAAAGGGCCCAAGATAGTTCCCTTTAGCCCTTTTAGAAGGCACTAGTTATAAGGGCATTATTTAATCACTTCCCACCTTTTACTATCACCACAATGGAGGTTAAGTTTCAATGTGCATTTTGGAGGGAATACATTCAAACCATAGCTACTTCTATTCTGATGATTTAAACTCTTTTATTCTGGGTGGCACCTATGGCTCAGTTGAGTAGGGTGCTGGACACATATACCAAGGGTGACAGGTTCAAACCCTGCCCTGGCCAAAGTGCAACAAAAAAAAAATAGCCAGGCTTTGTGATGGGCACCTATAGTCCCAACTACTTGGGAAGCTGAGGCAAGCGAATCTC